GGTAAGAGATCAACCAAAGGACTTGTATACATGCATATAACCAATGGACACAGACAGTAGGGGGCTGAGGGCATGTGCTGGGGGGTGGGAGTGGCCGGGGCGAGGTCAATGGGAGGAAAAAGAGACATATGTAATACTTTCAACAACAAAGAATTTTTTAAATATATTTTTATTGATTTCAGGGAGGAAGGGCAAGGGAGTGAGAGATAGAAACATCAATGATGAGAGAGAATCATTGATCGGCTGCCTCCTGCATGCCCCCCACTGGGAATCGGGCCCTCAACCCGGGCATGTGCCCTTGACTGGAATCGAACCCGGTACCCTTCAGTCCACAGGCATACACTCTACCCACTGAGCCAAACCAGCTAGGGCTATAACAAAGATTTTTCTTAAAAAAAATATATACCTGAACATAATAAAGGCCATATATAACAAACCTACACTAATGTCATACTCAACTGTGAAAAGCTGAAAGCTTTTTCTTTTCACATCAGGAAGAAGACTGTAAAGGGGGAAGATGCCCACGATCACCACTCCTACTGAACATAGTATCAGAAATCCTAGCCACAGCAATGAGACAAGGGGGTGGGGGGTGGGAGTTATCCAAGTTGGAAAGTAAAAACTAAAATCGTCACTATTTGATATATGATACTATATTAAAAAACAACACTAGAAAGTCCACCAAAACCTATTAGGATTAATGAATTCAGTAAAGTTGCATGACATAAAATTAATATTCATGACTCTGTTGTCTTCCTATATAAAAATAATAAATTATCAGAAAAAAATAAAGAAAACAGTCCCATTATAACTACATCAAAAAACATAAAATACCTAGGAATAAATTTAAACAAGAAAGTAAAGGACCTGTACTCTGAACATTATGACATGGATGAAAGAAATTGAACACATATAGATACTCATGGATTAGAAGAATTAATATAGTTAAAATGTCCAATCTACCCACAGCAATCTACAAGGTCAATGCAATTCCTATCAAAATACCCATGCATTTTTCACATAACTAGAACAAAAACACTTAAAATGTACAAGGAATCACAAAAGATCCCAAATCTTGGCCGCCAGGAACTCGTAAAATGGCTCGTTCTATCTGTGGCCTGAAGAGGTGGTTTCTTTTGTGATCCACCACCTAAGAAATAATTCCATCCACTCCAGCTTCCAGCATCCCCACTGACCCAGGCTCGGCCGCAGGCCATTCCGCAACTGGTTCTTGTGCATCCTTGGATTGCATGCCTGCTGGTCCAGATGTGTTGACACAAAAGTACCCACTTTCTGCCGCAGGTTTGGTAAGAGAGGTTGGTGTGCACATGGGCCAGGTAGTCCCGGCGAAAGCTGTCAAACTGGCCATGGCTTTTGGCTTTTGAGCTGCTCTGTGAGGAGCGCCAAGTGCTGAGGTTCCCCGGGAGGCTGGGAAGCTGGGTTGAT